CACGTGGCGTCGCGTCCTTACGGGTGTTCCCGACATAGTTCGACCGTCCATTCGCGACAGCGGTGGTCACCTCTCCGGGTTATCTAAGGCTACGTTATAAATACTTATATACATAAGGATATATAAATATATATCTATATATGCATATATATATATATATATATATATATATATATATACGAATATATGTGTAGAAATATATATATATATATATATATAATATGATAAATTTGTTTATGCGCTATCATTATTTTTCCAATCAATAAATATCTGCAAATTTTGAGAAAATAACTTTCTTATTAAACTTTTAAACCCTACTTTTTATACAAAATTATGTACGAAAAATATGTGTCACGAATCTCTTATCTTTCTCTATAACAAAAGAAACTACCAAAAAAAATCTTTATAATTACCAATGAATTAAAGTTTTAAAGAAAATTTTTCCTCCTTTTCCTTCTTCTCTTTCTCTCTCTCTTTTTTTTTGAATTCCTCCTCTGATTGTACGACTTTCCACACTTTATAATTATCAAAACCAAGATCGGAAGGTAATTTAAATTATGCATGCTGCTGGCTTTATACTGCTCGCGCTTGCCAGTCGTTCTGTACATTTTGTCACATATTCTTGCTTTTTAACAAATTAACGGTATCCTTACAGACGAGAATGAACAATGCACCGCGGAAAAGAGCAACGATGAAGAACCGGAAATCTGCGAGGTAGCTTTTCACGGTCAGCTTAAGTATCTACTCTGTGACTCGCCGATCCTTAACAGCGTGGAAGCAAATGTGGTCCAGAAAAATTCCAAATCTTGCCAGCAATTCCGTTGCGATGGCTGTGGCAGAGCGTACACGAGAGTCGACAGCCTGAAACGTCATCAACAGAAATGCGACGAGCTTCTAGCGTCGTTTCAGGATCGGCAAGAAGCGTTAGAAAGGCTTCAGCAGCAGGAATATTATTGTAATCAATGTGGCAAATCGTACAAAAGGCTAGATACTCTGCGTCGGCATCAGCGCAATCAAGTATGCGCTGACAAAGACAGCAACAATTCTTCAAAAATAGATAAGCCGAGTTTATAAGAAGAAGTCAGATCGCGATATCGATCAATCTTAGAAATATATATATATATACATATTCAGTGTTAGTTATAATGAGATAAAATAATATAACTTTATGAACAAGACTTTGAACTGACCTATCGATAAAAATGTCAGCTAATTTATTAGTTTAAATGTGCTTTTAAAAAAATTACACTGACATATAGTAATGACTAATTTCCTCGTAATCGAATTCTAATGAATTAATTATGCAATATTAACATCTCGCTTCATTAAGAATATGAAACAATGAGAGAGGGAGAAAGAGAAAGAGAGAGAGAGAGTGTGTGCGCGTGCGCGCGCGCGCGCGCGTGAGAGAGAGAGAGAGAGAGAGAGAGAGAGAGAGAGAGAGAACTACGTGTTTCTTCGTATCGATGAAAAATTAATACCTAAATTCTAAGCAAAATTGTAAAGCTCATAACATATTCTCTTATAAGAATTTATAACTTTATGCAATATATTTACTGATACTGACTTCTTGCTAGTCGTAAGATTCACGAGAAATCGTTGAATATTTATGAATGATCGTACATGTTATATACGCATAAAATTAAAACATCAATCTTTCTCTCTCTCTCATAGATTTTTATAAGTTATAAGTCTTACGAGAACAAATTACGATTCTGTTTAAAATTGATCTATTAGCTTCATATCCTATGAACTTTATTAGATATCTAATGACATTTATGAGGAAAACATGTGCAACAAGATCCAAAAAATTGCATATAAATATAAGAAATCTCTATTGTTCATATATAATTAAAAAATTTATGAGGTATTTAAAAAAATTTATATATAAATATT